CGGTATTGGAGGTTCCATTGGAACTTATTATGTCTGTGTAGACACCCCATTTTTGACCGTCCTCAAGACTTGGACGTCACCGTTTGAACACTCGGTGATTATCCATGTTTGTGTTCGTTTGGAGTTCCCGGGGGTCTCGGCTATGCGCCCTGCCTTAGGATCTCCGAACTTGACCGTTTTGTGTCTGGTTTTGCACCAAACACTTGTGTTTTGCCTTGGAGGGGCAGGGAATGCCTTGTGAGGCATCCCCACACACCACCGGCAGTGGCTAGAGGTCACCGACTGGTTTTTGCTGCCATCGGCACTTTTTGTTGCCGGTCGGCACTTTTTGTTGCCGGTCGGCACTTTTTGTTGCCGGTCGGCACTTTTTGTTGCCGGTCGGCACTTTTTGTTGCCGGTCGGCACTTTTTGTTGCCGGTCGGCACTTTTTGTTGCCGGTCGGCACTTTTTGTTGCCGGTCGGCACTTTTTGTTGCCGGTCGGCACTTTTTGTTGCCGGTCGGCACTTTTTGTTGCCGGTCGGCACTTTTTGTTGCCGGTCGGCACTTTTTGTTGCCGGTCGGCACTTTTTGTTGCCGGTCGGCACTTTTTGTTGCCGGTCGGCACTTTTTGTTGCCGGTCGGCACTTTTTGTTGCCGGTCGGCACTTTTTGTTGCCGGTCGGCACTTTTTGTTGCCGGTCGGCACTTTTTGTTGCCGGTCGGCACTTTTTGTTGCCGGTCGGCACTTTTTGTTGCCGGTCGGCACTTTTTGTTGCCGGTCGGCACTTTTTGTTGCCGGTCGGCACTTTTTGTTGCCGGTCGGCACTTTTTGTTGCCGGTCGGCACTTTTTGTTGCCGGTCGGCACTTTTTGTTGCCGGTCGGCACTTTTTGTTGCCGGTCGGCACTTTTAGTCTTTTACCTATCTTACTTGCTGATTTAGTTTTTGTGCATAACATAAAAAAAGCTTATATTTTCATGCTTAAGAACTTTCATTAAGGGTCTTTTATGGTTTGAGTTCGAACTCACCCTTTTAGGCCTTATTTGGCCCTTTTGTTGCCTCTTTGGTGAGGCCTTATTTGGTTAAGTGTTTTGGTCTTCTCACTACTGAAAACCAGTGGATTTTCAGTGGTGAGGAAGGTGGTTTGAAGTCTTGCATAGGGGAGGGACACCCCTCTCCCTTCATTGTCTTGTTTCCTTGCATTTTGGCTTAAAAGGGTAACATGCATGCTTGATCATTTTTTGCCCCATTTCAGAAGTTTTTTAGGTGTTTTGGGTCATATGTGATCTCTGTTTTTGGCCGGATTTGTACCCATTTTCATGCTTAATATACTTGCTTTACATTCCTCCATTTGGCCTAGAATTGTATCTTGTGTTTAAGCCATGATTCTTGCATTTGTTGGCTTGGTTCCATGAAGATGTTGGCATTATTTTACCATGTTTAAGGTCTGTTGGCCCTTTATTTCAGTTATGCTTGCCTTGTTTGGTGTCATCTTTTTGTGTTTTGGCTTGTAAGCTTTGAGCATATTGACCTCTAGGATGCATAGCTATGACCATCCTTATGATTTGCCATCATTTAGGGTCACATTTCAGTCCATGAATCATGTTTATATGTGTGCATGTGTGACCTCTTTCATGCCTTGAGGGTGTGCCCTTTTATGCCTACATATGAGCCTTGGTGCATACATCTCTTTGGAGCCACTTTAGCTGTCATATTAATGGGTTTTGGCGTCCATCTTTGCATGTTAAATTTCTGTTTTGGCTTGTCCAAGTCATGCCATGAGTGGTCATGTTGGTGGGAGTGAAGTACCTCCTTTTTGTGCCTTAATCTTAGGACCATTGGCTTGCTTGTTGGCATGGGTATTGGTCCACCTTTTAGGCACTTTTGGCCACTGTTTAGGGGTGGATCAAGGCCTGCCCCTTTATGGTATAAGGCTCTCTTGCATGCTTGTCTTATGTCCATTGCATAATTGTCTCATCAAGTGTGGTATTGCGTTGATTCTATTGCTTAAATTGTCTATATTTACATTGCATTTGCATGTTGTATGCCTAATATTGCATGCTTGCCATACTAGTTGCATGACACTTGGTATGCCTTGCATCTTGATATCATGTTGCATTTTGAGCCATGTTTGCATAACATGCATTGCATTACTTGGTTTGGGGTGTCAAACCAAGTGTGAGGGTTAAGGGGCGTTCATACTATAAGTGATGTAATGTGTCTTAACTCTCGATCACTGGGGCCTTTGATTTCGACATGATAAGGCCTTGGTCCTCATTTGTGTGTTGCATGCATTTTTTTATCAAATGGCAAGCTCGATCTCTTGGGCTATCATGCACCATTGATGGCTCGAGTATCGAGGGCCATGTTCCCCTGAGTTTAACACATGATGGGAAACACGACCATGCTCACATGTGCCTGAAATCCCATGCCATATGCTGTCTGTTCTCTGTTGCTATCAAAACTGACTCCTGCAGGAAGTTTCTGCCGACCGGCATAATTCAGTGTCGACCGGCCATTGGTGAAGGGCCGATAAGTCCAGAAGCAGCAGGTGGCAATTATGCACTGCCAGTGGGAATTTCCCCCAGCCGGTGGTACTCTGCAGTATGCAATAAACCTGTCCCAGCACTTTGGGATTTTTCAGAAAGATAGGGCAGTGTAAACAGAGACAGCCTTGGTATGGTACGGACTTTCCGGGCAAGGCGGGTTCGAGCATACATCATTCGTGCATCTCGAGGCGGAGGCTGCGGCCATCTCTCTCCTTCATTTTGCATTCGTTCTATTAATTAAGTAGAAATTCTGTAATAATTAATTTATTTGTTATTCGGAATGTAATATTTATTTGTACCCTCCGAGTGAGGGCAAATCTGTAATAAGTGTGTGTGAGTGGGGTGTATGTCTTCCAATCCCACGTCTTTCTTCCCTTTTATTTACCTGCTTATGATGGTAGACTAGGGCATATTTAAAATTAGCATACCTTATGCAATGCATGCGTGCATTCATACATTTCTCCTACATACACCGGGCTCGGTACATCATGCTAACTGCATTTGTATTTCAAATTCCAAATTGAATACGTGCATCAATTGGTTGCATTTCACATACCATGTTTAGGTTAGCCGAGCCTACTCTAATTACATCTTGCATGTGTTGCATTAGTCAATTTGACATGAACTAGGATCATGCATGTTTGCTAACTAGTTTATTGTTTTGGCACGGAGTACGATGTAAGTATTTATGCTTTAGCATCTCGCATGCGTGTGAGTGTTAACATGATAGCATGCTTACCATGTGGCTAAGTGCTTATATGAGATAAACTATTTGAATGCCTGTGGGTGAAGGTCAGATTGTTTGAGTTGGAAAAACTCGTTGAAATCCGTATTTTAGCCTACTTGCGAGTAGCAAATTCCAAAACATTTTCCAAAACAAACGGATATGCAATGCTTATTTCCAAATTAGGCAATCTAGTCTATACTTGTTTGCTGCGCGCATAACATAGTAATTCTAGGCTAATAAATGGAATAAGAACACATAACGTTTTCAAAATTGGATATCATGGTTAGTAGAGGCCGGTCTTCGGACCGGGCGAAAGGGGGTGCTCATAGCTGACCTTCCCCGATCGTACCCAAGCTCCCGAGCCGAGACAACTCCGGTGATGACGGACATGTGGCCTTCGGCACCGAGTCAGGGTTTCCTAAATTCCCCCTTAAAAAATATTTAGGTGGCGATTCTATATCTGGCAAAGCAGTCCATGTTTGACACTTCTTTCCTAAAATCTGTTTTCTCAAAACGATTTGCCAGATTTGGACTCTTTGGTTCAAGATTAAGAACCGTGATGCAAATCGAGTCCGAACTGTAGTAGCGGGGTCCCTCGCGGACTTGCTACAGTCTGTCATCAGTTATCTGTACCAGAGGCTCCATTATGGGGCTCAGCATGTTTATCCTCTGTTACCTGGATCCAGAGGTTCCTTTATGGAACTGGTTATTCATAACCACCACATGTTCTGCATCTGTTCTGTATCTTCTCTGTTAGTGCTAATGGATGTACCACGTATGATTAAGCATGACTTACGATTTCTGTATATGATCTGAACATGATTATGAACGTGAATCTGATTCATGATTTCTGAATCTGCATGAACTTCATTCATTAAAATCCTTTACTCCATTATTATTCATTGGGCTTCTGCTCACTGTTTATATTATGTATGTAGGTGAGCCAGTACGTGATCAGGGCCAGAGTTGATGGCCCACGTTTCAGTTTTGTCAGCCAACCCTTGCGCCTCCCGAGGAGGTTCCCGATGAAGTTTGGTTTCGTGGCTGTTTTTGTAGTCTGTATTAGACTATGATTGTTGTTAAGTTGTGGGCGAGATTTTTGTCATGTACGCCTTAGTGCGTTGTGTATATATTATGTGTGCTGACTTCGCTCGCATTTTATAAAAGTTTCAAGCTTTTTTGTTCCATGTAGGTCATCATAGCTCATTGGACTTTGTCTATTTTGTACATTTGTTTCTGTAGCCCTTATCTATATGTTAATCTGTCATGAGGCCTTGGGTAATCCAAGGATTACTGGTCGATTGCGATACTAAACCTATAGGGGCAGGTTTGGGTCGTGACAGAGTGGTATAAGAGCACACGTCCTCCCACACACATAGGTCCATATGAGCTTAGGATGTCCTAGTATGAATTATGGGCATTTCATCTGCATGTGTGAGTGTGTGGTAATCTAAAAGGATATGAAAATTAAGTATAAACCTGAGTAAATAAATTGAAAGAAAAGAATGTGATTATTCCTATGTTTATTATCATTTGATGTCTCTATAGCAACATGGAGAATGCAAGGGAAAATGATGTAAGTGAATCTTCAGAGGCTCGAATGAGCAGATGGAACAAATGCTTACGGCGCTGACTGAAGCTATGACACAACAGCAAAGACAACAACATTCGCCCCCTCCACCCCCGCCGGCACAAGCTGAAGCAGATAATAATGACATCATCAACTTGACTCAGAAATTTATGAAAATGAAGCCACCAACGTTCTTTGGTGGAATTAAACCATTGAAAGCAGAAACATGGTTGCTCGAAGTGGAAAAACTGTTTGATGTATTTCCCTGTACCAAGATTCAGAAGGTTTTATTGGCCACCTATACTCTGAAAGACGAAGCTCGAAGATGGTGGTTACTGATTTGGAATACCGATAGGAACATGACGTGGGCTCGATTTAATGAGATCTTTTATGAAAAACATTTTCCTCAATGTTTTTGGGATCGAAAAGTGTCTGAGTTCCAAGAACTTAAACAAGGCAGAATTTTTGTAGCCGAGTACGAGGCAAAGTTCACCGAATTAGCCAGATTTGCTCTTTATATGGTGGACACAGACTACAAGAAAGCTCGCAAATTTGAGGGAGGATTAGACTTGGACATATTTGATCGAGTTGGAGTACTAAAGTTGCCAACATGCGTGCAAGTTCTTGATAGATCTTTAATGGCGGAAGCCACCCTAGTTGCTATGAAGCAAAGTAAGGCCCCAGCCGCAACGACAACTGATTGGAGAGGAAAAAGGTCTGGGTATGGTTTCAGAAAAGGCCGTTCTTATGTAAATAAGAAACAGAATATGGGATCTACAAGCAGTTCAAGCCAGAGCAGTGGGTCTATTCCGGTTTGTCCTGACTGTGGAAGAAGGCATAGGGGTGTGTGTTATCGAGCATTCGATGCTTGTTTTCGATGTGGCAAGACAGGTCATGTAGTGAAGGATTGCCCACTTGGGTCCGAAAATGCCAACCGTCTTATGATGAGTTCAGCCAGGTCTGCTTCTACAGTAAAAACAAATACAAAGGCTAATACTGGGAAAGAACCGTTGAAACAAGGTCGAGTTTTTGCCTTAGTGCCTAGTGACGTACAGAACATCAAAACTGTGGTGTCAGGTATACTCCCTATATGTTCTCAAAATTCATGTGTATTGTTAGATTCTGGTTCTACGCATTCCTTCGTATCGTATGCTCTCTCTCGGAATTTAACTAGACCACTAGAGCTTATGACATATGTGTTATCTGTTTCTACACTGTCTGGGGGTTCTACGTTATGTACTTATGTTTATCCAGCATGTGACATTATGGTTGGCGATATGATATTGTATGTTGACTTGTTGCCCTTGAACATTGATCATTTTGATGGTATTCTGGATATGGACTGATTGACTAAATACTGTGCTACTATTGACTATGCTAGTAAATCGGTTGTGTTTAGACCACCGGGTATGCCTGAATTTATTTTTACTGGAAATGGGGTAGTTCCTCCCCCGTACCTGATTTCGCCCATGAAGGCTCTGAGATTGCTTAGGAAGGGATGCAAGAGTTACCTGTGTTGTATACTAACTACACCATCTGACCATGCTAATGTGGAAACTAGTCCTGTTACTTGTGAATTTCCCGATGTATTCCCAAATGACTTACCTAGGGACTTAGTTGATAGGGAAATTGAATTCACTATTGAGGTAATTCTGGGAACACAACCTATTTCTAAGACCCCTTACAGAATGTCAACTTCAGAATTGAAAGAATTGAAAACACAGCTCTAAGAACTATTAAACAAGAAATTCATTCGCCCGAGCACTTCACCTTGGGGTGCTCTAGTCCCGTTTCTCAAAAAGAATGATGGATCCTTGAGATTATGTATAGATTATCGGGAATTGAACAAAGTAACCATCAAGAACAAACACCCTTTACCCCGAATAGATGATTTGTTTGATCAACTCCAAGGAGCCCAAGTGTTTTCTAAGATTGACCTCCGATCTGGGTACCATCAGTTAAAGGTTAAGGCAGAAGATATAGAGAAAACTGCATTCAAAACTAGATATGGACATTATGAATTTTGAGTAATGCCGTTTGGGGTGACTAATGCACCTGCTGCCTTTATGGACCTCATGAACAGAGTGTTTAAACCATTTCTGGATGAATTTGTGGTTGTGGTTATTGACGATATTTTGATTTATTCCAGAAGCACGGAAGATCATGAAAATCATTTGAGAACTGCTCTACAGACCTTGAGAGAAAAGAATTTATATGCTAAATTGTCCAAATGTGAATTTTGGCTTCACAATGTGACATTTTTGGGGCATGTAATCACCAGGGATGGTATTTCTGTTGACCTTCAGAAGATTGAAGTTATCGTGGACTGGCCAAAACCGACAAATGTGACAGAGGTTAGAAGTTTTCTGGGACTTGCAGGTTACAGAAGAGAATTGTGAAAGACTTTTCAAAACTTGCCATGCCGTTGACTCAGTTAACTAAGAAAAATGTGCCATTTAATTAGAATGAGCAACGAGAGTCAGCCTTTCAAGAGTTGAAGACCAGATTAGTGACTGCGCCAATCTTGACTTTACCTAATGATACCGATGGATTTCAGATTTACAGTGATGCTTCCTACAAAGGTTTGAGCTGTGTGCTAATGCAGAATGGGAAAATAATTGCTTATGCCTTTCGGCAACTTTGTCCACACGAGAAGAATTACCCAATACATGATCTTGAATTGGCAGCTGTGGTGCTTGCCTTGAAAATCTGGCGACATTATCTGTATGGAGCAACTTGTGAAGTGTATACAGACCACAAAAGCCTCAAATATTTCTTCACTCAGAAAGAAACTGAATATGAGACAAAGGAGATGGTTGGAATTGATCAAGGATTATGATTTGCAAATTCTATATCATCCGGGAAAAGCTAATACTGTAGTTGACGCTTTGAGCCGAAAATCGATTGGGAACTTGTCATGTTTGCTGTCCAGTCAAAAAGAATTGCTAGATGATCTAGAAAAGAATGGGATAGAAATTGTTTTGCGAGAGCAAGGTGGGATTTTAGCTGCCATTTCCGCTCAACCTACAATTGTTGAAGAGATCAAAGAAAAGCAACTTGAAGATGAATACTTGAAAAAGGTTGTAGAAGAACTTGATTCAAAACCGAGGCCGGGATTCGTGTTTGAGAACAACGTACTGAAGTTTCAGAATCGTCTTTGTGTACCTGATTGTCATGACTTGAGAAAGCGTGTTATGACCGAAGCTCACAACACTAAGTTTGCCATGCATCCGGGGAACACAAAAATGTATCATGATTTGAAATGAAACTTCTGGTGGCCGGGAATGAAAAAGGACATTGCGGATTTTGTGGCTAAATATTTACACTGCCAATAAGTTAAAGACAAACATCAGTGACCCGCTGGTTTGTTACAGCCGCTTCCAATACCGAAATGGAAATGAGAACATATTACCATGGACTTCATTGTGGGATTGCCTTGCTCTACTCGAGGTATGGATTCTATTTGGGTCATTGTAGACCGTTTAACTAAGTCTGCACATTTCCTACCTATTAAATCTATTTGCAATGCTGACAAATTGGCAAATATTTATATGACTGAGATTGTGAGATTGCATAGAGTGCCGGTATCTATTGTATTTGACAGTGACTCAAAGTTTCTGTCAAGATTCTGGTAGAGTTTCCAACAGGCTTTGGAAACTGAACTAAGGTTGAGTAGTGCCTATCACCCTCAGACGGATGGACAAATTGAACGGACGAACCAAACTTTGGAAGATATGCTCAGAATGTGTGTATTAGATTTCCAAGGACATTGGGAAACCTATTTGCCACTGGCCGAGTTCGTATACAACAACAGCTACCATTCTAGCATTGGAATGGCTCCTTACGAAACTTTTTATGGAAGAAAATGCCGATCTCCGATATGTTGGGCTGAAGTAGGTGATAGGCCCTTGTTGGGGCCGGAACTTGTGCAAGAAACAACAGAGAAAGTGAAACTGATCCAACAGCGTTTGAAAACTGCACAGAGTTGGCAAAAGAGTTATGCTGATATCCGAAGAAGAGATAGAGAATACGAAGTTGGGGACCACGTGTTCATAAAGGTGACTCCCATAAAGGGACAAACACGGTTTGGTGTTAAGGGCAAATTGGCGCCAAGGTATGTTGGGCCATGTGAAATTATTGAAAAGATCAACCCGGTAACGTATCGGGTAGCCCTACCTCCGGTAACGGAGCTTATGCATAATGTATTTCACGTATCAATGCTTCAAGAATATTTGAGAGAACCACTCTATGTCATTGAACCAACACATGTGCTTTTGAAAGATGACTATACTTACGAAGAAAGACCTATTCAGATCATGAACCGTTGGATCAAAGATTGAGAAATAAAGAAATTCCGTTAATGAATGTGGATTGGTAGAATCATGGAGGAACTTATGCTACATGGGAAACCGAAGAAGACATGATGAAGAGATATCCGGGTTTGTTCTCATTGGACCCAATGTTGATCCAGAACGAAGGTAATTTGAGTTTAGAGGACCAAACTCTTTTAAGGGGGGAAGACGGTAACAACCTCGATCCCTGATTAATATAAATCCATGCTTAATTATGGTTAATCCGTAATTAAAGAGGAATTCTGAATTAATTTGCAAGTGTGCTTTGCGTTATTGTGTTATATCTGTTTTCTGTAGAAAGATATGTTCATGTTTTAGTTTTGGTTTGTGAAATTGAAAGCCTTAACGGCATCTGACTCAGAAATTGATTTGATATGTGTGTTATGTGGGATTTATAAAATTTTATGGTAAATTTAATTGGAATTCGATTTAGAACGATTGAATTAGATTAATTTAATGCACATTTAGTTTGTTTTAATTAATAGCTACCAAGTGAGCTCTTATAAGCTCCGTACATGCTCCACTCACCCTTTTTCTTGAATAGTCATCACATTTTGAGCCTCCACACACACACAAACGTGGGAGAGAGAGAGAGAGAGGGGGGGTGCAAATTGAGATCAAGCTTGAAGGTAGAAGAAATTGCTAGGAGACCTTGAAGAATTACTCAAGAATGTCTTTGACCATAAGGAGTTGAGAACCTTAGGTAAGAATGTTAGTCTCTAGCTTTGTAATTAGTTGATTGATGCATGAAATCAATTGTGATAGGTGAATTAGCATGACAATTGGGCTAAAGGATGGAATTAAGGACAAATTCATGCATGCATGTACATTTCAATGCATTGAGAACATGTTGCTAGGAAATTCTTCCATGCATGGTTAAAATTCACTTCAATTTAAGGAGAACATCAAGTTTCAAATTGTTTTATGGAATTTGAACATGTTTTGAGAAGTTTTGGTTCAAAGAATTTCATGCATGTCATGATCTTGGATTATTCTTGAATTTAAGTTGAATTTTGTACAATTGGCATGTCATTCGGCCATGATTCCTTGAAATGATCCTTTAAACATGTTGTTTTATAAGTATCTAAGTGTTTCCTTAAGTTTTGGCCCAAAAAAATGAAGTTTGATGCTTTAATGCTTGAGTTTGAACTTGAAGATCAAATCTAGAAATTCTAGAAATTTGATCTACGCTCGAGCGGGGGATTTCACACTCGAGTGAGCACTCTGAGTACGTGCACTTCCGCTCGAGCGGCAAGAGTCATGCTCGATTGTGAAATGCATATACCCAGAAGTTCATATGTTTTACAGTCCGCTTGAGCGAGGAACTTCACGCTCGAGCGAAGGTCTGAGTCTCACGCTCGAGCGGAGGTTGAGCGTTCGTCGAGCGTGAAATTCATGCATCCAGTACTTTTGTTAAAATTTGCAGTCCGCTCGAGCGAGGGAATACACGCTCTAGCGAGCTTTCACATCCTGCATATTCGCTCGAGCGGGGAAAGCCACGCTCGAGCGTGGACCCTATTTTCAGCAAAATTTAAGAAAAGTTTCCAAGTGCATTTTGTGTCCTCTTTCCATCCTAGGCATTCCTAGGTCATGATTAAAACTCCATAATGAGATTAAAGGCTAGAAACTCACTAAGAACAAATAAAGTAAGTTGTGTGCGTTTTGAACGTGTGTTTCAAGTATGCGTTTGTTATATGTCCGTGTAGGTCACGTGCCATAAACCATTGATTAGTCTGCTCTGTCTGTCTGTCTGCACCTGAAGCCAAATGTGAGTAATAACTTAGTAAAGTTATATTCAACTTTATCTATTTTGTGTACGAAGAATTAAGATCTGTTTTCTTAAATGCTATGTTCTGTACAATGAATGATTGTCCAATTTCTGACATGTATAAGTGGCATCCTTAGCACCATGTGATATCTGTTAGCTGTTACCCGGTATCGGAGGTTCCATTGGAACTTATTATGTCTGTCATCTGTTACCCGTACGTGAGGCT